TAGTAGTAGTAGTAGTAGGGGTAGGAGTGGTAGGAGGAATAGTCGGAGGAGTAGGAGTAGGAGTAGGAGTAGGAGTAGCAGTAGCAGTAGCAGTAGCAGTAGCAGTAGCAGTAGGAGTAGGAGGAACAGTAGTAGTAGGAGGAGGTTTCATAGCATAAAGGTTTGAGGTCTACGACTTACGGGTTAAGGCCAATACCCAGTCTGGAAGCCCCGACTAAGCTCTGATTCTGCAACTCCTTTCCTGTAGCTTTATGCTTTACCTGGCGCCTGCTCCGTAATGGCAATCCCTGAACCTCTAAACCCTAAACCTCAAGCCCCTGAACCCTAAACCCCCATACCCTAAAACCCTAAACCTTAAACCCCCCAAACGTCCCCGAATTGAGTTTTGGGAAGCCATCAAACAGATCCCAAATTATCATAGTGTTAAGAGGGGTGGGTCCAAGCGGGGTAGGTATTGGGGAACCTGTGGGAACCTTGGCGAGTACCACCCCTCGCTATCAACATTCTAACTCTAACCAAAGTCCCACAAACTTGCTTCATGAATGCTGAGGACTCCAAAGGGGAGTCCTATGTCGACATTTTTGAGCTCTGGCTTATGGAGGTCTTGAATTTCTGGGTGTAGGGTTTTGGGGTGCCGAAGTTGAGGCTCAGAGTTTCATTAAACCCAAAATCCGAACCCTCAACCCAAGCCTCGCGCCTAACCCCAAACCCTAAAGCTCCAAACCATACACTCTAAACCCTCTAATCCTAAAGCCTCTGCACCCGAAACCCTCTAAGCCTGAACCCTATACCCGGAACCCTCGAAGGCTAAACGCTACCCTAAACCCTATAAGCCTGGAACACCTAGGACCCTTTGTCTTCAAATACGCCGACTCCTTCTTGCCTCCTTCCTGCGGTTGCTGCTTCACCAAGGGCATGCCTCAACATACCTGCAGGCTCCCACTTCACTAAAGATATCTACGTGGCACTTAGGACCCCTACTAAGGGCTAACCCTTAGGTACCTATAAGAGGAATAAAAGGGAGTCCCAAAGGGTTAAGGGTCTAAGGTCCAAGCGCTAAGTCCCAAGGAGATATTATAGACCCTCACCCTAAATAGTAGTTTCCATGTTCTTTTCCATTATCCCTATATATAACCCTAAACCCTAAACCCCAGAGGGTTTATGGCTTGGGCTTTAAGGTTATTGAAGCAAGGTTAGAGCGGATCAAGGCTAGTTGACCCTGAGCCCTACACCCTCATGCCTAGATAAACACAAGCTGTATGGGCTAGGAGGACCCCCCAACCTGTAATAGTGGTATAATAATAGTGGTATAATAGGAATATAAGAGGGGCCTTTGACATAGTCCTTGTTATCCCGTATGTAAACCCTAAACCCTCAACCCTAAACCTTAAACCCTAAACCCTAAGGTGGGGGGGGGGGGGACCCCGGGAGTTTCTTGAGTTTAAGCTTGGGTTTGGGCCTGCTTGTTTGGTGTTCGGCCTCAGATATAGGATTTAGGGTTTAGAGGACGAAGAAGTCGACCCCTTTCTTCATATGTGTAAACCCCGCAGCATGAAGGTTCATGTGTTCCCAAACCAGCAAGGGCCAAGCATCATGAGTATTTATACGTGAGGTTATAGGTAGGATGAGTTTTGACACAGTTTAGGAACACTTCTCACGAAACTTCAAAGTACCCGAGGCCATGAATCTTGTGGCTTATAGGGTTTAAGGGTTTAGGGCTTTCAGTTGAAGAGTTTAGGGTTTAGGGCTTCTTTGTCTGTGGCCAATGTTAGCTGTCTGGGCTTCTGGGCCCTTGATGCCCAGGATGGTCTACAACACATATCAAAGACTTGAAGTTTGTACCCTTAATGTTTGTAACCTTAGGTTTGGGGTCCCAAATACCATTATTAAGGACCACATTCCATGGTTAGGGACCCAAAGCCAAGGGTACAAATCCTAAGGGTACAAAGGAAAACTCCTTGAACATAGAGGAGTCGTAAGCCCCAAGCATTTAGGGCTCCGGCAAGGCAGCTCCCTTGAAGTAGAGCTGCCCCAAGCGTTTAGGGTTTAGGGTTTAAGCTTTAGGGTTTAGGGTTTAAACTTTAGGGTTTAGGGTTTAATTTGTATACCCCCCCCCCCTTCATATTAAATATTCCCAGGATATTACGGTAAACCACAATGGGGAACATTCAATAGCACGGGAGTGGTTAGGGGGGAGGACCATTTACTAGGTTCCTCAGTAAGCCATAAATAGTGGGGCACAAATTTCTCTAAAGTTCAGTTTAGAACAAGGAAACCCCAAGTAAAAAGGGAAAAAGGGTACCCGAGTACCTGGGTTACGTAACAATATACCTGAACCCCAAACCCCAAGCCCCAAACCCTGAACCCTTAAACCCTAAACCCCAAGTACTACTGGGGTACACAATTTAGCAAGTCTCCGACCCAAGAAACCTCCTTGGTGTCGTTGTGGACAGAAGCATCGCCGAATCTGCCACGATCACAGCAGGTCCTTGACTGTAAGCCCTAAACCCCTAAACTCCTAAACCCCTATACTCCCAAACCCTAAACCCCTAAAAATCTAAAATCCTAAACCCCTGACCCACAAACAACTCTAAACCCCTAGAACCCTAAACCCGTCTCTTCTCTGACCCTTAGAGGTGAGCCAGCAAGAATGGGTGAACGTATTCAAGGCAACCACTAGCATTTTGCGAACTCGGCTGCCTGTACTATCGGGGTTTAGGGTTTAGGGTTTACGGGTATAATTTGGGTCCTGCCCCCAGCCAGTGACGGTCTTTAATAGGAGACATATCAAGGGCTTTAGATAGTTATATCAATATTATTCAACTGTTTGTGGTGGCAGTAGCAAAGATATCATGGAATCCTGATAAGCCCCAAGCTCTAAATCTAGGGACCCCCAGAACCCCTTTTATCTTCCTGATTCATCCGAATGGCCTCCTCATTTGAAAGGTTGGAGCAACCGAGATATGCATATCCCACCCCCAAAACCCTAAACCCCAAACCCTCAAGCTCCTTGGACTATATTGGGCTTTCTAGGGGAAGGTCTAGAGTGGGGGGGGGAGGTTCTGGGATCTCACTATGCGAGTCCATTAACGTTCGGGTAACTCAAAACTCTGAATCCTTACGCCATGGACCTTGAACCCTGAAGCTTAATTGCGGTTGAGCACGTAAGGCTTCAACCCTCCGCCCCAACCTTAAACACAACACCTGAATACCAAAAGAACTTTTTACTAGGAGGCTCAGGGGACTCAGTAACTACAATACAAGCGGCGTTATAACCCCACGTATATCTGGGTTATTCCACCTAGGGCAGTGAGGAAGATTATAAGTAGCTTTACAGTATCACCCAGCTATTGCCTCCACCCAACCAAGTATCCAACAGCTTCACATCAGGCTCGGTTGAGCGCGGAGGCGGCGAAAGCAGCTGCCCCGATGCGGCATCCATGATGGTCACGGAAAGGCCTGCCTGAAGTCTCACAAACAAACATGAAAAGCCGTTAGGGGGCTCTACATGGATGAAAGTGAAAAATCACCCTTCAGTGCAGTTTACATAAGGCCCAAGGCCCAGAACATATGTGCAACAGCTGTTCTAGAGTAGCAGCAATGTAGCAACACTATCCTAAGGCTCTTGCACCCGCATGATGAGCTCCCAGAACCTTAGCCCCCAAAACCCAAAACCTTCCCCTCGAAAGCCTATTAATCCTAGGAGCCTCAGAGTACACACGATTTTCAGCTTGACTTTCTTGGCTCTGAAAGTAACGCTGCCATGGACCCGTGCTTAAGACGCCGCACTTAAGGGTTTACCGTCGTTTGACTACCCTAACCCTAAACCCACACCATAAGCATTGAGCTTAGGATTCAAGAGATGCCTCCCCCGAACAAGCATGGAAGCTAATATCGTCCCCTTTCCAGGACCATCGTCTCATGCACAAAGGATTTCGGGTTTGGGCTCCAGTGCAAGTTTGGTGGGTCCTGGGGGTTTTGGAGTTGGACCGTCCTTACCCACCACAGCCTCGAATTAAACACCTGCCCCTGAACGCTGAACCTGAAACCCACAGTACGAACCCACCCTGTAGCCCTCGACCCTAAATATCTTCCCTAAAACCCTTCACACATACACCCTCAAACCCCAGAATCCTCAACCCTTAAACCCCAACCTCAATACCCCAATAATCCCCAACCCTAAGCCCTAAACCCTGAACCTTAAACCCTAAGCCCTAGACTGTATCAGAGCTGCAGGTGTATCGGGCTGCTGCTCGTAAAGCCCCTCAGCAGCTGCAGAAAGTTTGAGCTTGTGACTGTGGATGAATTTAGGGCGTAGGATTACGCTTAAGGGATTAAGGGGTAACGTGGGGCCACTGGGCATTCAAGGGATACAAGGGGATTACTGGGGCCCTCTCGAGGATTACATGGTGTTGTCTGTAACAAATTCAACAAACCCAAGGGGCTAGGGGAGTCTACCCTAAACCCTAAACCCTAAACCTATCTATAGACTTGGAGCCCCAGGGTGAATAATGTGATACATTTAGAGATGTCCTTTTAGGGCTTTACACTTCGGGTTCATGTGCCTAGGGTCTCAAAGGTCTAAGCGGTTTGCAGGTGCGAGGAACGGGGATTGCAGCTTGAAGCGGGCTGAGTCCTAAACGTTGGCCGGTGGTTCAATCCTAGATTAACCCGGACGGTCCATGTAGGTATATGGTATATACTTGGGCCTTAAAGTAGGTATATGGGAACCCCTCTGGGCCCTAAGTATATACCATATACCTACATGGACCCTGTGGGAGAAGGAGTCGTCTTTTGGGCCTGGAAGTTGAACCTCCGTTACAGGCTGCCCCCCCAAGTAGATATCCATATCTTAGGAGGACCCACCACCCTGTAATAGTGGTATAGTAGGCATATAGCAGGACCCTATTATAGTCCTTATTATCCCTTATAGCCACTATTACTGGGTGGGGGGTCCACCTAGTCCATATCCTATAGTGCTGCTAACTTGTGGAAACTCCCATTTCTGATGTAGGACTTCTTGTGCAAGAAGTCTAATAGAAACTAAATACGCGCCTGACGCGCACGAGCACCTCATGAAATTGCCACCTAGAGGGTCCAAGTAGCCGAATAATGCGGTTACGGGTCCCAAATAATACTATTCTAGGGTGCAAGTAGCCGAATCATGGGGTTATTGGTCCCAAAAATAAAACTAGTCTAGGGTCCAAGTAGCCGAGGGGTTATAGGTCCCAAATACTATGATCTGATTTGTTTTTGGTACCTTGAACACCAATATTTGGGTGCTTGGACCTTTCGGGTCAAAAAAAATCGGCATCTGCACTTGGACTTCTGGGGGCATTCCGTGCTCCAACGGCGAAAGATCCCTAATCCCTAGGCCTAGACTTGGCATCCTTAATCCTGAGCCACGGCCGTCCTAGTACCCTTAATAAAGGGGTATATCGGGGTTATATAGGGATAATGGAAAAGAACATAGAAACTAACATCCAGGGTTTAGGGTTTAGAGCTGAGGATGTACGGCCCCTTAATAGTGGATACCGAGGGTTTAGGTTCTAGGGACTATAGGGACTAGGAATACAACTTATATACCTTGGCTATGCATTGAATGCTGAACCTCAAGCCCCGAATCCCTGACCCAAAGGGTCCGAAGCATCTATGTAGGGGATGCGAGCCCAGACCATATGCATAGCTCCTAGTATAGAAACCCTGCGCCCTAAACCCTGAACTCCTAAACCCTGCACCCCTAAAACCGAAACCCACGCTGCGCTCCTGCAGGACTTTCTTGTGAAGACCGCGAAGAGTCTCGTTTCGTTCGAGGGATACCTGTCTGCATTCAAGGCTCGGTGTTCATGGAACGCCTGTTACCCCAAATAATGAGCTACTTTCACCCAAAACAATGCAAGTTGCCAGTGTGGGCTACTGGTTTTGCAGTTGTTTTGGAGCAGCGTCATGCTTATGGCTTGGGTTGGTTGATGTAATGAGTTGTGATCTGGGAGTGCAGCCTGGCATTCTGTTAAGCGAGTAATGCCCCTGCTCTTTAACATTAGCAAAGGACTTCTTCATCATGTCAATGTGAGCTACAGTCTAGGTGTCCCAAAAAAATCGTGGCCATGGGTATCCTAATAGGGAAGATGTTAGGGACTATAGGAAACTACCCAAAAACCTTTTGCCCACTCTTACTAGTTGCCAGTTCTAAAGCTGACACTGGTTCAAAGTAGCTCGGGTGGCCGTGCTGATCGGGTGGTTACTGTTTGCACTGCTGTCACTATCGCAGCCATCGCTTTCACGGTTCGTATGAAAGCCCCATGCTTTTCGGGGCTGTTGTTGAACTGCAATAACCATCCGCAGCAGGGATACACATAGGACCATCTTCAACGCGTTGAAGGTCATCTTACGTTCCTCATCAGCAGGTGATAGTTTCACTAAATAGAAGGGCCCCAAAATATACTATCACCCTTATCATGAGACCCGCAAAAAAAAAGTACCCCTCATCTAAAGAAACCCTAAGCCCTACAAATCGCCAAATCCCATATATCCTTATTACCCTCCTTTAAAGGTATAGTGGGAGGCCCCCCCCCCATGTTTGTGCGTCCAACCTCCGCGAGCACGTCCCCACTCATCCTTGGATGGCGGCATGTGAGCTACAGTCAATATTTCCTACACGATTTAATGGGTTTAGGACTTTGGGTCCTAGAATATCTCTACATCATTCAATGGGTGTAATTAGGGTTTATGGTTTTGGGTTTCGGGACTAGGTCCTACATGGTTGAATGGGTTTAGGGTTTAGGGAATATTTCCATACATAATATGATGGGTTAGGGCTTTGGGTTTAGGGAACAGTTGCCACACAATCTAATGGACATGGCTTCCTTATTCGGGACTATATTAGAAACTATACTAAACTGCCAGAGGAACCCTATGTCCACTGCTGAGGGTCCCTAAAGCAGTAGCTCATGTGACGTGTTTCCTGTTTTGATGGCTAGACTGGATGCAAGGAATGTTACATCGCTGCTATGCGCTGCACACCAGAAGTGGCGGCGCTTTTGGAGGGTCCTCCGTGATGCATGGTTTCCTGCATTGGCAGTGGGGTTACTGCAAGAACATGCTTCAATTGAAACGGAACATTCTTCAGCAGCAGCCCCCTAGCAGAACCATTCTAGTCCTCCTGTTGATGGACAAAATCTCCCACCACCTGAAGTCCCTAGAATCCTAGGAACTTGAAGGAAAGCCCATTATAAAAACCCTGAACACTAAACCCTAAACACGACCTGAAGCACGGATCCCTCTAGGGTGTGTAATCGTGTAATCAACAAGCCTTCTCTCCCAAAGTTTTGGGTGTTAGGGATTAGGAATGATATTGCCATCGCCCCACAGGTACTCCCAGGGTTTAAGGAGCTGATAAGGACTATATCGAGTTTAATAAAGCCGAACAGGATTCAAACTCTGGGGTGGGTTATATACATTTTGTTTTTTTGGGGGGTGGCAATATTTTGGCCCATAAGCTTCGAGGTATCTTTTACAACCTTGGATCCCGGAAATCTGATAAACACTACGAGCCTGAAACCTAAACCCTGCCTGCACCCTGCCCGGAAAGAAAGTCTAAAACAATTGCTTAAACTTTGAAGAAAGAAGCCAACAAATCTGTTATTCTACGTACAGTACTTCAGATAACACCCAAGCCCTAAACCCTCAATACCCAAACCCAAAAATCCTAGAGGCCCCAAGCCCTCAAGTCTTCCACCGATAACTGGGTTGCTGTTGAGGAACTTGAGTTGAGTTACCATATTGTGGCATATCGTAGGGTTTATGGTTTCCTTATTACAGTAACTTGATCTAAGTTTCTTAACAGCAACCCAGATGAGCTCAACAGCTGCCAGGCGTCCCCCGACATGACGCAAGGATCTTGTCCTCAAGGACCCACACATGAGCTATAGTCTAAACTCCTAGCTTCACCCTGTATGACCCCTATACAAAAGGGTTTAGGGTCTAAACTCCTGGTATCCCCCCCTTCATAACCCCCATAATACTCCCTATATAGTCCCTTATATAACCCCCTTTGAGGACTTTA